CCTGCCTCTGGCTCCCAAGTACTTAATAATTGGGTTGACATTGTTCATTTTTCTCCTGTAGCCTTGGATGTATTTTTCTTTCCCTTTATACTGAAGTATTCATAATTGTATCCTCTGTACAGTTGTCTTGGTAATTATAAATTTCTTTGACCTGGTTTTTAATCATAGAAAGCTTTTCTCTCTCCTTCAATTATGATAGACAGTTTTGCTGGGTATGTTAGCCAGGTCTGGCAGTAGTGATCTTTCAGAACTTGAATACATCTTTCCAAGCCCTTCTGACTTTTATGGTTTGCATTGAATTGTCAGCCATTATTCTGATGAACCTGTCTTTATATGTGGGTTGGTTTTTCTGTCTTGCAGCTTTTAATATATCTTCCTTGCTCTATATATTTCATTATTCTAACTATAAGATGATATGTAGTTTCTTCTCTGATCCTGTTTGATGTTCTGTGTGCTTCTTTTATCTGGCATTTCTTTCCCTAGATTTGAGCAAGTTTTCCTATTATTTTATTAAAAATTTTTCTATGCATTTGGCAAGAAGTATTTCTCCTTTTACATCTCAATCTCACAGGCCATGCGTGTCCCCATGGTCTCCCATGTTCTGTTCATTGTTTTAAATTTATCACTCACCTTAACTATGTAATCCAATTCCTCTACCTTGTCTTCAAGCCTGGTAGTCTGTTCTCCACATGAATAATCTATTAATGATTTTTATTTGACTTATTGAACTTTTCATTTTAGTCATTTCAGTTTACTTACTTATTAGAAGATGTATATGAGAACATCTTCATTTTTGCTCTAAGTTACACGAAGTAGCAAAATAAATCCACAAAAAAGTAATGGAATGATTATCAAAATGGGAGGCAAGAAATGGCAGTAAATGTTTGTGGGAAAAAGAGAAAGGCAAATCGTATCTTTTAAAACATTTTTGCTATTTTTGAGAATTTTACACATATATACAACTAAATATGACAACATGTCACCCTTACTTTCTGTCTAAGTCCTTACACATACCCCCCAACAACATGTCCACCTTCCAACTTCATATCCTTTCTTATAAGCCAATGAGTCTGATTAGTGAGGCCCATATGTGTACAGACATTAAGGCATCCACTGGACCATGAGAAACCTACTAGTGACCACACCCTCAAAAACAAAAAAAAGAGAGAGAGAGAGAGAGAGAGAGAGAAAGAAAAAAATCCCTTTTTGAACAGCTCTGGGGCCTGGACTTCTATTCCATCCGTGTGAAACTTTGACAGGCTTGATCTTGTACAGGTCTTGTGCAGGTACCCACAGCTGCTGTGAGTTCCAGAGTGCAATAGTCTCATCTTGTCTAAAAAACTGCATCTAGTAGCCTTTCTCCCCGTGCTCTGGGCCTTACCGTCTTTCCAAGGCCTATTCTAGGGTGTTCCCTGAGCCTTGAGAAGTGGGGTGGGTAGAAAAGATGGCCAACGTAGGGTTTAACACTCAGTCTTTGAGTCACAGCATTTTAACCAGTTGAGTCTCTGTATTATCCATTGAAAAAGGAAGCTTCTCCACCAAGGCTGTGAGCAGCTCAGGTCTATTGCTATAAACATAATTTAATTCTATTGTTTCCACATCCTGAATTTACGTTCTTATCTCACTCAGCTCTTTGTGTTCTCTTGGAATTCATTCAGGAGTCTATTCATGTCTCCTTTCCAGTCTTTGAACATATTTATAGTCATTCTCTTTGTTTTCTTTTCTAGTTTCATTGAGGGTTATTCTAGGGTTATTTTTGTACTGGGGTCCACTCACTTACAGTTCAGTCCTGGTTAAGTGCTGTTGCTATTCCTGCTGTCCATCTAGTTCACCTTCCTGCAGTGGAAGTGTTTGCGGTGTACATAGAGACTGGGTTATACTCCTGTTGGGACATTTTCTTATTTTAGATGGATGTTTAGAGCGTGAGCCCCTATTCTCAGACCTCTCCTGAGAGTTGGTTACTATCTGCAACAATAGGCACCATCCAGCAATAAACTGTGAAATAGAGTAGCAGGTAACTACAACGCAGCCACTCCTTAAGTTCCAGTTGTTTTAGGAAATAAACGAACAGCATTAGTAAAACACAGTACTAATGCATTAGCTATTGTGGATATGAAATCAAATGAGAAATCTCACATAGGAAGCAGAGGAGAAGGGGGTGGCTGAGCAGGGAGAGAAAATTTGGAAATGGGGGAAGATGTGGGAGTTTGGATGAAGGTAGACTGAAAAGTGATGGGTAAAAATATACACTCAGATAACACAACTGTCTCAGCTCCTAGGAAGTTGAGTCATGGAGATGCTAGTTAGCTTTAACTGAGGCACAGACATGCTGGTTAGCTTTAACTGGCAACTTGGCCCAACCTAGCATCACCCAGGAAGAGCCTCAATTAAATAATTGTCTAGATCAGGTTAGCTCCTGGGCTATCTGTAGGAATTTTCTTCTTCTTTTTTCTCAATATATGTTTTTATTTAAATTAGAAACGTGAATGTTTCACATGTCAGTCCCAGCTCCCTCTCCCACTCCTCCTCCCTTGTCCCTCCGCCAGTCCCCCCAACCCCCCACCCAATCCCCACATCATTCCCTAGGGAGGGTGAGGCCCTCCTTTGGGGGATCTCTAAAGTCTGTCATTTCATCCTGGACAGGACTTAGACCCTTCCCCATGTGTCCAGGCTGAGAGAATATCCCTTTATTTGGAATGGGCTCCCAAAGCTCATTCATAAACCATGGTAAACACTGATCTACTACCCAAGGCCCCACTGACTTCTGTGGCCTCCTCCCTGGCACTACATTCATGGAGTCTGGATCAGTCCCCTGTTGGCCTCTCAGCCATCAGTCTGGGATTCAAGAGCTCCCCCTTATCCAGTCAGCTGTCTTTGTGGGTTTCATCATCATGGTCTTGACCCCTTTGCTCATCACTCCTCCATCTCTGTCACTAGGTTCAAGGAGTTCAGTTCAGTGTTTAGCTATGGGTATCTGTCTCTGCTTCCATCAGTCACTGGATGGAGGTTCTAGGATGGCATATAGGGTAGTCATCAACCCTATCATCAAGTAGGGGCTATTAGTGTACTCTCTCCACTATTGCTTAGTTTGCCAGTTGGTGTTATCCTTGTAGATCTCTGGAGTTCTCACTAGTGTAATCTCTCTCCTCAAGCCTATAATGACTCAATCTATTATGGTATCTCTCATCCTGCTCTCCTCTATTCTTACCTCTACTCAACCTTCCTGCTCCCCCATGCCTTCTTCTCACATCCTCTTATCCCCCTCTCTTTTTCCTGGATCCCTCTCCCCACCCCCCATGTTCCCAATCTGCTCAGGAGATCTTGCCTCATTGCACTTCTCTGGGGTATCATGCATCTCTCTTGGGAACCTCCTTGTTTCCCAGTCACTGGCACTGGGATTGTAGGCTGACACTCCCCTGATCCATATCTAAAATCCATATATGAGTGAGTACATACCATGTTTGTCTTTTTGTGTCTGGGTTACCTCACTCAGGATGGTTTCCTCTAGTGCCATCCATTTGCCTGCAAATTTCAAGATTCCATTGTTTTTCTCTGCTGAGTAGTACTCCATTGTGTAAATGTACCACATTTTCTCTATCCACTCTTCAGTTGAGGGGAATCTAGGTTGCTTCCAGGATCTAGCTGTTACATACAATGCTGCTATGAACATAGTGGAACAGACATCCTTGTTGAGTTAATGGGAGTCTTTTGGGTATATGCCTAAGAGTGGAATTGCTGGGTCTTGTTGTATACTCAGACCCATTTTCCTGAGGAATCTCCATACTGATTTCCATAGTGGCTGTACTAGTTGGCACTCCCATCAGCAGTGGAGGAGTATTCCCATTTCTCCACATCCTCTCCAGCACAAACTGTCATTGGTGTTTTTTATTTTTGCCAAGGAATTTTCTCCTTACCCTGAGTGTGGATGTCTGCATGTCATGGGCTGAGCCCTGTCCTTTATACAGGTGAGGAAAGATAGCTGAAAGCAGGAAGGCAGCATGGGTACACTTGTTCCTCACTGCTCTTGACTGTGGATGCGATGTGACTAGCTTGAGTTTCTGCCTTGACTTCCATGAAATAATTACCATGACCTGGAACTATAAGCTGGACAACCCTCTCCTCCCCCATGTGGCTCTAAGTCCGGGTGGTTGTCATGGCAGCAGAAGTGAAACTAGAACATCCTGCAAACCAGGCAGGCCTCTGTTCTTGCAGAGATGGAGAGAAGGGGATGGGTACAAAGAAATGGGAGGAAAGGCATGGATGGCGGGGGACTGAGGAGACCTACAGTGACCTTGGGTTTGACATCAGTCAGGAATAGCTCTAGACAGAAATGAGAGCTGTGTGACAGGTTGGGACCAGAGGCTCTGCTCACTCCCTGGCCTCTGAGGGCAACCATCAGTGCGGGTTGAACTCTTACTGCATTCCCTGGCCTCTGAGGGTGCTCTCACTGGGGGGTCAAGTCTCCACGTATTCTTCAACCTCAGAGGGGGATCATTGGAGGAATAAAGTCTCAGAGGGTAACCATGAGTAAGGACTGAAGTTTTGGCACACTTCGCTAGTCTTAGAGGTAACCAAACTCTATCTCAAACTCTGGGGTTCAAGTGTTCCTTCTATTTGGACCTTTTTAGTACCTTAGAGTACATGCTCACACTTCTGTGCCTGTCTTTGGCTATAATTTTTAATTGTTCGTGTGTGTGTGTGTGTGTGTGTGTGTGTGTGCCATATATGAATGCTAACCACAATTAGGCTCACTATTTACCTGTAATTTTTCAAAGTTGTTAGTTTTAGTTAGTGTTCTTATTCTTGTCAGCACAAATACCCTTTAACCAATGGGACTATGCTACAATGGGACTACACTACAATGGGACTATGCTACAACTCAATATGGCATCCGCATGGCACTCTCATGCATGTGTCTCCCTTTCAAAGTGTCTTCTCCACCCCACAGGAGATCCTACAAGCGCCAAGATTTTCCATCATTCACAGAGAAAAACACACAGTTCAGACAAAATAATTTATTACAATATATACAGTAAATCACTGACAATGCCAAGAACCGAAACTAAAACAATCTAGATCGTTTACACTGCCCTTTCTGCCCACAAGCTTCAATCCCTTCCCTTTCTCCTCTCAACACTCACAACCTACTGCAAAGCCCTCCGAGACAGCACACTGCGCTGAGCTGGCCATGAGCAATTCCCCACTTTCCATCTTCTCAGCCTAGCTGACAGAGAATGTGACAACACCTCAACAACTCTCTCCAGGTTTTCTTGCTTCTATAACAACAAGCCATCCATTTACAATTGGAGCCACCTCTGTGCCCAAGGCTTTATTCAGCTCTTTTGTAAGGTAGCCTAAAATCATTCAACAATAACATGCTGATTTCCTAGCTTCAATAGGATAATATTACAATATAGCTGAGATTTTGCAAGTTACCTTTAATTAATTCATCAATTTTTAGTTAAATAAAAATTATTTTCTCATGGAAAACTAGCTCAAGATAAACTTTCTTCTTCCAACTAAAACGTCCAAGCACTCTTATCTTGAACCAAGGCCTTCTGCCTTAGCCTTGTCAGTGAATGATCACCAATCAGGATGCCTCAAAAGGCAACCATTGTGGCCACGTGAACACATGGGAAAGAGGACATCGGACTAATTATTTCAATGATTCCATCTCTTGAAAGCCCAGAAGATTCCCAGTGCTCAAGGTTGTCTGTACCCCCAACCGGTGTGAGCCTCCCCACTTCAGATAAATACGGTTCCCTTGATACGACCACTTTCAGGAATAAATTCCTAGGACCAGGTCCCTGTTCTCAGCTTCTGGGCATTTATCCACTTGTAAAACTGATTTTCTTTTTATTGAAAAAATCTAGAGGTATGTGTTGACAGGGTTAAGAGATTTCTTTTTTTAAAAAAAAAGGGGGGGAAGGTGGAAGATGAGAGAGGGTCAGGTAGGAAAATGACAGGAACCAGACTGCAATTAAAAAAAATAGTAATGAAGGGTTATAAACAACAATCACAAGCTAGATGAACTGAGACAGAGTACATCAGCCCACACAGGCTTCTGTGTCTGTCGGACTTTCCTGGATCTGAGTCAATTTCTCTTCTAACGCTCTAGTAGAGACTGGTAAGTGTGCCACACTGGCGTCAGATGCAAAATTTCACAGCAACGAAATTATTTTCCTCCAGCAAACCTACAATCACATGTATACGTATTTTATCTGAATGGGTAAAATTTACAACTGGCCAATTTCCCCCTTATACCACAGAATGGGTCTAGAGGGAAATAACAAATCCAGACCTGCCAAGTCTACAACAGAAGGCAGGATTCAAGCAAAATAGGCGTGGCAAAAGACAGCCACAGCCAACAGGATGATGCCATTGATGTTTACCACCGTCCTCCACAAAGGCTGCTCAGATGTGTCTGTCATCTTCAGCTTCATGGCTTCCTCCTCTTCCTTAGTCATCTTTGGTCCTTTGTCCTGGTCGAGGCCACAGAACATGTCATATGCCCTCCTGAAACATCCTTTCTCCTTTTGGGGAGCCTCTGTGTCTACAGAAAGAAATAAAAGGAGCATTCGCTACAGGTCTGAAACAGTGGTTCTTAGCCTTCGTAATGCTGCAACCCTTTGGTACAGTTCATCATGTTGTGGTGACCCCCAGACCATAAAATTATTTTCAATGTTACTTCATAACTGTAATTTTGCTACTGTTATGAACTGTAATGTAAATATCTGATATGCAGATGGTCTTAGGTATCCCCTGTGAAAGGGTCATTGACTCATAAAGGTTGAGAACTACTGGACTCTGGACTAGAAAGAGTTTTCAGGGAAGATGGAATACCACAGAACATTTACCATTCTATAGTAGTATCCCAGTTCTCGTTTTCAGGAATGGAAATTGAATACAATGTTCAAAATATGAGACAGTGTTGAACTGGATTCTGTAGTTTTATCTCTTCCAGGACCAATAAAAATGTGCTTTGATTTGGAATAGCCAGATAAAATAATAGATTATGAGAGGAATACGCTAACAATAAGATGGGCAACTGACTTAGGGAGAATATAGTAAACCCACTTATGAAATACAGAACCCGTATCTGTTTGCTACATCACTGAATGTCAGTGAGGCTGTCCTGACTCAGAGGGGAATTGGATGCACTCGCCTATTCTGAGGTTTCACAACAGACCCATCCAAAGGGTAAGGGTCACTGTGACAGGTCCTGCCGCAGAGCAACAGCTGTCAATACTTGTTGGGCTTAAAGCATGCTGGTGCACGATAACACTGATAGATCAAACCATCCAGCTGGTGCTGACAGCCAAGTGGATGCCCGGCAAGGGAACAGATTCCCCTCAGAAGTCATTTGTGGTACTGGAGACAGACAGACATAGCTTCAAACGCCAGCTCTGCCAGTCACCAGCTATGAGATCAACCCCACTCTGTCTTATTTTTTTAATGTGGTATTTTTGTAAAATTTATTTACTCTATGTGTCTTTTACATCTTGTATCTTGGTTCCATTCACTTCCTCACCCCTTCACATCCACCCTCCACCCCTGCATGCCCCCCAATAAAACAAAATTGAAGAGAAAAAATGAAAAAAATTATATTAAGTTTAAAAAGGAAAAAATTAAAATCTTGTCGTGGAAGCTGCAGCCTGGTACAGTGAATCCCTGTGTCCATGCATCTCACTTGCAAGTGTTCACTGCAAAGAGTCATTGGTCCGATTTGAGGCCTCTGGTTTCTGTTACACTGTCGATGCTGGGCCCTCACTAGGAGCTCCTGGATATCCTGTTGTTGCCCCGTGTTGTGGAGATCCTGCAGCTTTGGTGTCTGCGGGTCAGGTCTCTTTATGTGCTCCCACTCTATGTTTTAATACAATGTCCAGAGACTAGTGATCGGCACATCCTGGTTTTTATAAACAGACTGTTTTGTTTTGTTGGGGGTGGGGAATATGGATTGTGCTATCATTTTTAGCTTACTTACTTATTTAAAAAGAGCTTTAGTGACCAAGTTCATATGTGTATCAGAACTCTACAGTGAAGTGATGAGGTCAAGTAGTCTCTAGGCACATAGTTAGACATCTAGTGGGTCTGCACCTAGGAGTCTATAAGGTTGCTGATGCCGGATTCATAACTTGTTCTGCTTCATCTGGTGCTGTCTGGCAGGACTAATTGGTCTTCCATTTCAATACCAGATAAAGAATGAACTTGAGGGCTTCTGCACATCATACACACTAATTCCCATGTGGGCATCTCTTCCACATCAGGAGAAAAAGTTACAACACTGAAGTTGAAGACAGACTTAATTTAAAGGGTAAGCCTGGGACTAGAGTGTGGTAGCTCAGAGATAGAGCACTATCTTAGCAATGTGTTAAATCTAAGTAAAGCTTTATCCCAAGAACTGAAAACAGTCACAAAGGATAAGTTTATGACCACTAATCGTCATATTAAGCATCCAGAGAAATTGGATTTTCTAACCTAAAGTAGAAAGACATAAGATGCCAAGAGCCTATGACCCATACTCCCAGTGTCATCAGAGGTGAGCACAGCTTTGCATAACTCTTTGTCTCACTCCACAGGATCTATCAGGAAAGTCCTAGTTCTTCCACCCCCGACTATGCTCCAAATCAAGCACAAATTTCTCTTCATTTGCTGACTCCCTGAGTTCTGAAAACTCTGAGGAGTGAGGCAGCTGAAGGGTTTTCCCCTCACCTTCACCCATTTGGTGAGCACCTGTCTTTCACCTTGCCCCTCCACAGTCAAGAGGAGACATCAGCATTGATGAAGGCATTTGCTAAAGACTTCAATAAATGGCTTAGGAACAAACCTATCTCAATTGTGTCCTTAGAGTCTTCCCAGGTTTCCTCATCTCCGGCATCCAGGTCGATCCGTTCTTCTTTGCTGTTGCGTAGACTCCAACACAGACGGTACAGCTGTGGAGAAAGCAGAGTCAATCACCAGAAAGACCGAAATAGTGTCTTAGGCCAAGAATTTGAGGAAATAGCGTAGTATTCATCAAGAAAGGATAAGAATATGGCCTTACCCAGCTTACAATTCCACTGCCAGAGAGTCTGGAAAACAGAACCTTCAACCAATGACTGATGGAAGCAGAGGCAGACACCCACGGCTAAACACTGAGCTAAACTCAAGGAACCCCATGACAGAATGACAGAGAGGGAGGACGGATGAGCATAGGGGTCAAGACTGGGCTTGTTTAACCCACAAAAACAGCTGACCTGAACAAGGGGGAGCTCTTGAACCCCAGACTGGTGGCTGGGAATCCAGCGTGGGACTGATCCAGGCCCCCTGAATATGGATGTCAGTGAGGAGGCCTAGGCAATCTATAGGGCCTTGGGTAGTAGATCAGTATTTATCCCTGGCATACAAATGGACTTTGGGTGCCATTCCCACAATGAGAGATGCTCTCTGAGCCTGGACTCTTGGAGTAGGGCCTAGACCCTGCCCTGGATGAAATGACAGACTATGGACATACCCCCATAGAGGGCCTCACCCTCCCAGGGGAAAGGAATGGGGATTGGGGGAGGGGGAAGGAGGGTGATGGGAGGAGGAGAGGGAGAGGGAGAGGGAGCTGGGATTGACATGAGAAGCAACTTTGTTTCTAATTTAAATTTAAAAATAAAAAAAGACAAAATAGAGCCGGGCGTTGGTGGCGCACACCTTTAATCCCAGCACTCGGGAGGCAGAGGCAGGCCGATCTCTGTGAGTTCGAGGCCATCCTGGTCTACAAAGTGAGTTCCAGGAAAGCCTCCAAAACAATACAGAGAAACCCTGCCTTAAAAAACCAAAAGAAAAAAAAAGACAAAATAAAAAGATATGGCCTTACCATACCAAGAAAACATGGAGAGGCTAAGAGACTGCCTCAACTCATCCCTAAATAAGGCATCTGTATCATCACCTCCAAGCTCAGGGAGAATCACAGAAGAGAAGGCAGAAAGCATGTAAGGGACCAGATGGGGAGGAGCGCTGTGAACATACGAGTCTGCTGCTCATGACACACCATTGCACTCATGAATCCGCTACAGCTGTGAACTGCACAAAATGGGGCCTGTTCCCCTTTCCTGGTGCATGGGGAAGGCACTCATGAGACCGCACGCCATGCTGAGGGACTGTCCTCCTTTCCTCGTGCATGGGGAAGGCACTCATGAGACCGCATGCCATGCTGAGGGACTGTGGACAGTTAAAGAATGCTGGAGAGGAAGCGTCATTTCCTCCAGTGGTGCAGCCAGTGATAAGTCCCCATGCTCTGGTGACTCCCCACTCATTCTCACGCAAGCAGCCATAGCTGAACTCAGTGAGGCGAAAGATAAGATTCAAAGGAAGAGGGGGATTGTTGGAAAGAAAAGTTTCAGGAGAGACACGACATGACAATGGCAATGAATGGTGTAAATGACCAAAATGCAGTGTAATCATATGTGAAAATAGCAAAGAAGTAAAATAATATTAATAGTAACAAAACAACAATGAAAACAAAAATAAAAGGCAAAGTAAAATAACAATACAACACACTTAAAAACACTGGGCCAGTGAGACAGCTCAGTGAATAAAGGTACATGCAGCCAAGCACACAGACACGAGTTCAATCCTGGGGACCCACAGAATGGAAATAGACAACCACCTCACACAGGTTACCCTCTGTCCTTCCTAAACCACGTCTGCATGCAGATACCCACATACACACTCTCACACAGGCATGAAATTCATAAATAAAATGAAAAGACTACCCGAAATATAAATGTTTGTTGTGTGAGTGAATTCGCTTTTCTCCTGCTGAATAAATTTGTTCCTTTCAGCGCCACTGCTAAGAAACAGGACTAGAAGTCATTTACCCAAAGCAGCACTATAAGATCTCATTACTGAACACTGTCACGTTATGGGAATTAAAACTGTAATCATGAGCCATGTCAACACAGGGTCGAGCAGCGGCAGTTGTACTGATGCAGTTCAGAATGTGAGGTGGGATGTGCCAAGTCCTGTGGGAACCAATGCGACCCGCCCATCCCAATCGTGCCTTTTGGAGAGTGCCTAGCTCTCTCTACTTCACAAGGAGTATGTTTGAGGCTTCAGTCTTGTGGAAGACTGAGGTACAGCTAAGTGTTTGATACATTGTATGGATCCCCACCACAGAGCCCGCGCAAGAAGGCAAGCTGTCGAGGCTGCAGCTGTCAACGCAGATTCTGTGTTACGTTAAAGGTATCTCAGATCTTGACAGTCTGACAGGTTATAGGTGGCTTAGAGATTCCACACCTGCTTGTATTTGTCTGTGTTGGAGTAAAGTGTTCATACATCCCTTTTTCTACAGATAAATGCTATCTTGGGTTCCTTTTTTAGCTCTGTTCCCTTGCAAACCTGGGAACAATAGAATGCTGTATGTTTTAGATCCTCTGACTATTTTGATAGTAATTAAATGGGTCCATTATTGATTATCCTTCTTTGAAAGTAAAACTATGAAATGACTTTAATCCAATGGCAACATATACAGCTAAAGAAGTGTTTTATGATTTCTGAAGGCTTGAAATGGGTGGTTTAAATGTCTCCTACAAAACGAATATCAGAATGTAATTCCCAGTGTGACAATATCAAGAGTGGGTTTTTTCTTTAGGTAATCTTTGGAGGTTAGTAATCCAATTACCTCTTAATACTGCTATCCTGGGAGAATCTTTCTAATAAAAAAGATGAAATTTGATCTCTATGCCTTCTCCCTCTCTCTCACACACAGCTTCTTTCATGACACCAACTACCACCTTATTATGCTGCATCAAACCCCTCACCATGTGAAGCCCTCAACCTTGGACTGAAAGAAATAAACTTCTATTATCTATAATAGTACATATTCTACTTATAATATTAACATGTTATTTATAATATTATAATTAATTATAAATGTTTATAATATTATTTATATTCTACCTACTCTGTGGTATTCAATGATAGCAGCAGAAAACACAATAAAACATACTGTTAAAAATGTCTCATTTAGAAAAAAGTCAAAAAGCAAACCATAGTTTAAGTTTCCGATTGGGTGATTTTTGTAACTAGGCATGTCCTTTGCTGGAACTTCTGGACGATATGGCCGTGGAACTTTCACAAGAAATACAACTTCTTATTTTGGACATGGACTTCTAATCTAGAGTATTATGTTGCTTGTCAAGTGACCTCGTTCACTTTGTAGCCGTCACTCGAGAAGAAGAGTCTGTAGGATAGCCCCTGGCCTGAAGTCTGGGCTGTAAGGACTGAGCCCCAGACGCTGTGGCTACAGCGAGCATTCCGTGTTTCCCATCTGAACCCTTCTCCATGAAACGAATGAGGAGCTGGGACGGCTCCCGTCATGTAAGTGTGAGCGGGGCAGCGGGACGCTGCAGCAAGGAGTGTTAAACAAAGGCAGGAGCGATGGCGGCGGGCGGATACTCACGTGCACATCTGGAATGGGCTTGGTGAGGAAGGAGACGGTCAAGATGGTGATTACACAGATAACAAAGAGGATGATGGCAAAGTACAAATAGTGGACCCCACAGATGATCGTGGGGCAGTTGCTGGGCTCCATGCAGCTCCCAGTTCCATAGGCAAACTCGGTGATCATACGGGCGACCCCAATAAAGAAGCCTAGGATCAGTCCCCAGAAGGCTCCCTGCAAAAGAAAACCCTGGGTTAATTGTGCTGAAGCCAGAAAACAACTGGTGTTCCTACTGTCCTAATAATGGAAGACAGAGATGAGGAAACTAAAGAGGAAAGGCTCCTGTGGGCCATCCGAGGCCAGGACACCGAAACTCAGATGGGGCCAGCACTGTTAAGTAGCACTTTTCATGATATATATGTATGTAGATATGCACATATATATGTAACAACAGTTAATGAAAAGAGAGACCATACGTTTGAAAGAGCAAGTAGGAGTATACTGGAGGGCTTAGGGAGCGGAAAGGAAGAGATTAATATTATAATTATAATCTCAAAATAAAGCAAATAATAAGAATATTTGTTTTACCTTTACCTCCTTTTATTTTTTGTTTTTAGAGACAGGGTTTTGCTGTGTAACAGCCCTGGTTGTCCTGGAACTCACCCTGTAGACCAGGCTGGTCTTGCACTCACAGAGACCCGCCTGCCTCTGCCTCCTGAGCGCTGGGATTAAAGGTGTGCACCACCACCGCCTGTCTTACCTCCCTTCGTGTGTGCAATGCCACTACATGTAATCTGAGAATGAAATTTTACTATGTGACTGGCATTAAACTCAGTGGGGTTTGTGTATGAGAAATGTAAAAGACTTTTAAAAACCCTGCAAATTGCTTTTTTGAGACCCGTTTTCCCTCTCCTTTCCTTTTTCTCCCCTCCCTCCCCCCCTCCCATCCTCTTTCTTTATCTATCTGTTTGCTCTCTTTCTGGCCAGTCCTCACCTGGAGAATCATAACTATGTTTGAAAGGGTCAGTGACAAATTATAATGTTATCAGTGTTGAGGCCAAAAAGAGACTTCACGATGTTTACAAGTGTTAAGCAGTCTCTTTGTTCTTTGTTTCGGGTGACTACCTGAAATCACATCCTTTGTATTTCAAGATAGCCTCTTAGTTACTTTTCTATTGCTGTGACGAGACACCGAGACACCATGACTAAGGCAACTGATAAAAGAACGCCTTGTAATTTGGTACCCACAGATCCAGAGCGTCAGAGACCATGACGATCATGGCAGGGGAGATGGTAGCAGGCAGGCATGGCACTGGGGCAATAGGGGGGAAACTTATATCTGATCCGTAAGCACAGGGCAGAGATATATAGCCATTAGGCAATGTCATGGGCTTTTGAAACTTCAAATCCCATCCTCAATGACACACCTCCTCCAACAAGGCCACACCTCCTAATCCTTCCCAAACAGTTCAGCAAACTAAGGACCATGCATTCAGATATATGTGACTAAATTGCTGGCTATTTAATAATGCCATCTATTCTTATCTCCCAGGATCTTTGTCTGTGTCATTTTCTCTGAACAGATGATGTGGAGTCTTTTTTTCTGTTCGAGACTAAAGAGAACAAGTGATTCAGAACTAGGTGAGTGTGCCTCCCTTCTGTGGAGACACCTCCCTATGAGCACTGATACAATTGCTACTTCATTTATTCACTTCTCTAGCTCACCATGTGAGCTTAGAGCTTGCCTGCAGAAGGAACCAAATACTGTTCACCTTCAGTTGGTAATACCTAGCCCACGTCTGAAATCTGGAGTTCCTTCTAAATGAATAAATGAAAAATGGGAAAAGGAAAAAAATAGGCTTCCACTATTCTGAAAACACTTTTCATTTGAAATTTTTCTTGTGCTTTGAAAGATTTGTTTTATGTTTAATTATATGTATGGGTGTGTATGTGCACATGGGTGCAGGTGCCTGTGGAGCCCCAAAACATCAGACCCTACAAATGGAGTCACAAGGCGTTGTGAGTCACTGGATGTGGGAGCCTGGAACCAAACTCCAGACCTCCACAAAAGCAGTGCACGCTCTTAGCTGCTGAGCCATTCCTCCAGCCCCATAAAACAATCTTAGCTTTTGAAATTCTGTGTGGGTGTGCGCGTGCGTGCTGCTGCAGTACACAGGCTTCTCTGGATCTGCAGAATGATACCTACTTGTTCATTGACTCTCTTGCAGAAAATAGCCAGCAGGAAGACAGCCCCAATGGGTGGCCCCAAGTAGCTGGTGATAGACTGGATGTAATCAAAGAGCTGTCCACTTTGAGCCGACTGCACGATGGGCACCCAGGCGATGCTGATGGCAATCAGCAGGAGCATGAACAACCTGAAATCCAAGCCCACAGCAGCACATCAGCATTCTGCATGGATAGACATATGCCAACAGTACACGGACACATGTGCACATGCAAGTATATATGCACACGTGTGTTACACAAATATACATATCTCATAGCACCACAGGGAAGCAAAGGGAGCAAATCCATTCTGGAGGTTTTCTTCCTCATTCTGTCTACCCAAAAGTCATCTATGAATAACTGAAACACATTTGGCTTTCAACTGACAGCTAGATCCAGTGAACTGATGCACGAAAATCCCACTTTGAGAGATTAAACTGCAGCTACAGGTTACAGACTCAGGAGCATGGTAATCATGGGTTCAAGTTCTCATTGTTTCTGCATAATATAAAACATGCTACTTAATCTCTCTCCAGCTTAAAACTGAGAACAAAGTCTCCCAAATAGGAGATTTAAATTTACATTTAAAAAATTTAAAAATTAAATTTAAAAAATAAAATTGTTCTTTCTTCTTTCCTTCCCTTTCTCTCTTTCTCTCTCTCTCTCTCTCTCTCTCTCTCTCTCTCTCTCTCTCTCTCTTTCTTTCTTTCTTTCTTTCTTCTTTTTCTCACTTTCTTTCTTTTGGTTTTTTTGAGACAGGGTTTCTCTGTGTAGGCCTGGCTGCCCTGTAACTTACTCTGTAGACCAGGCTGCCCTCAAACTCACAGAGATCCACCTGCCTCTGCCTCCCAAGTGCTGGGATCAATGGTGGGCGCCGCCAAACTTGGCTCTAAAATTAAATTTTTTAATCAAATAAAAAATTTAAAACATCATCTTTTTTTTCTTTCTTTCTTATAAAGTCTTAACAAAGTTAAAAATGTTAGCCAAAAAGAGAGTCTAAAGGAGCAGTCTAGTCAGGAAGTGATCCCGTCTTTCTAGCTCTCTTGTTGAATTTTACTTCATGTTGTAAAACTGTGGGAGATTCTCCTACAGGCTCTTATTTTTTGTGCACTTGGTTTAATTATAAAGAAGACTAGAGTTTCCTTACCCCATGTGTACTTCAAGCAAATGAGTAGTGTTTTCACATAGGTCTCCCTGTGGTGTGGGATGGCCTTCCCATACCACCCACAATTCACCCAAACCCTACCTGTCATTGTTGACTCTACAGTCTCCTGCCACAAAACCTTCCCCTACTACACTAAGCCATGCTCATCTCTCCCTTTCTGGGCCTGGGTTGCTCTTACAAACCTTGAGATTGCTTCATGCTACTGTGAGTTGTTCACTGATGACCAAACCCAAAACCAGTAGTTACAGGATACACAAAAATTGTGAGATTCAATACAATCATAGGACCAGGAGACCTGGAGCTGTACGAGTCAACAAACTAGTTTTCTTTCCAGTAGGTAACTTCTAAGAAAAAACCAACTGAGGTCTCAGTGCTGCTCAGCAGAATGCAAAGTAGTAGATTCTCTGCTGATCAGACACGCTTGTGTGGGGGTGGGTATCCTTATTTTCTCAAAAAACAAGGGGTAGGGATGCAACTCAGTGGTAGAGCATTTGCCTAGTCCATGCAAGGAACCCAGCTCAATCCCAGCACCATTTAATAAAATATATGTGTGCATAGCTAGTGCTTATACTTCACAGAGTAAACTGGGAGCCTTGTGCAGGAACTTAGTCGGCTACAGCCCCCAGTCCTGGCTCTGCCCAGTCCAGGCCTAGTTAAGACATGTAACCTAATTCTGACAATGCTCATTGGTAGCCTGAGATCAAAAAGTTGAGTTCTTATGTCCAACTCCAGTGGGACACTGCTCAATTATTTTCAATGTAAAATGAAAAGCTGGGCCTGGAGTCTAGCTTTGTGGTATAGTACACACCCAGAATGTACAAAGCCCTGACTTCAATCCCCCAGTACCACAGAAAATAAAAAGAAAGTGCCAGCGAACAGTAAATATAACTGGACACAGAGATGACTCCAGTCATACCAAGTACCTGCCAGTCTTGCCTAGCTGAACTGTGGTGGGTAGAACTTTTTGTGATCTTTTAGCTCCCCTGATACATGGTGGAGAGGAAGAAGCACATTTACCTTCCTGCAATCATGAGCTCCCTCTCAGATGCTCTCTTCCGGATCTTGGTGTAGATGTCCATGGTAAAGAGGGTGCTGGCGCTGTTGAAGATGGAGGTCAAAGAGCTCATGAGTGAGGCCATCATGACTGACAACATCAGGCCTCGAAGTCCTGGAAGAGAACGAGGTTCTGAGTGACACATTGGTCACTCTGACTCTCTGTTTCTTTGCAGCAGTACCCAAGGTTTATTTGCCTTTAGAAGCCATGCCTGTGTCCTCAAATTTATCTCTCCAGAAAGAGAGATAAATAGAGGTTTTAAGAAATGGACCATAGCTTTACATTCTAAGACCACAGCAGACAACGAATTAGAGACAAGACAAACCTTAGAGACTTTCCAACTAAATGGTGGTGGTGGTGGTGAGTGTAATGGTTATGAGTGTGGCATGTGTTTCTAACCAAGGGGACTTTCATAAGGACTCTCACCAAAAATGGTCATGACACAGCAGAAGGATGTCTAAACTAGACTGAAAAGAGAATGAAAAAGACCTCCATGAATGGTAGCCTAGAGAAATGTGAAAATCACATCTGGCAAAACTATAGCATACAGAGTGTGATGGCTATTGTTGGTCATCAATTTGACTATGCCTGAAATTAACTGAAATCCCGAGCTGCTAGGCACACCTGTGAGGGACTTTTCTTAATTAAATTATATGAAGTGGGAAGATCCACCTTTCTTTTGGGCCACACCCTCTGCTGGCAGCCTATGTAAAGGACTTGGAAGATGGAATCTCTTGCTATTTGTCTGCTTGCCATCACCCTCCCTGGCAAGTCCGTTCCTTCACTGGCATTGGAGCCTACCTCTTAGGGATTCCAGCATATACTGAAGACCGGTTGAGACACCCAACCTCATGGACTGAACAACTATTAGATTCTGGGACTTTCTGTTGGAAGTCAGTGATTGTCGGACTAGTTGGACAACAAAATGTAAGCTACATTAATCACCTGGTTAAGTGGGTCTGTGACACAGACTGCCTGACCTGTTTTTTTTGTTGTTGTTGTTGTTGTTGTTCATTTGGTTGGTTTTGGTTTTTGAGACAGGGTTTCTCTGTAGCTTTGGAGCCTGTCATGGAACTCACTCTGTAGACCAGACTGGCCTCAATCTCACAGGAATATACCTGTCTCTGCCTCCTGAGTGCTGGGATTAAAGATGTGGACCACCACTGCCCAACTAAGACCTGTTTAAACTCTACCAACATGGACTTTGCTGACATCAACATTGACAGCGTCAGCAGCATAGGGACAAGCAACTTAATCTCCTTTCATTGTTCTATTCTAATTAAACCTTCATTTGCTTATCTACTCAACAAATACTTGCTATATATAATTGTATGGCAGCCTAGTGCCCCCCCCCAATCATGGTATAGCAGAGTAAGTAAGGCAAGGAAGGTGAAAGCAGACAGGAAGAAACACATATGATAATCAGGAGACAAAATGGGAAGAACTGGTGTGGCTTAATGGGGGGCACTTGATGGCTGAGAAGCTGAATCCACAAGTGAAACCAAACAAATAAGCAGACGGAGAAAGAGACAAACAGGAGAGGATAACATCATGAACCCAAAGAGAAAGATTCGAGAAAGACACCGACCATGGCATTAAATGCGATTGAGGGACAGGAAATGTCTGTGTGGTCTAACACCGGATTCGGTATTCGCAGGAGCCAGGTGACAGCCGGGAGGTCAGAAGCACCCAGTGCAAACACAGATTTTTGCACACGTCTTTTTGTTCACTGTTCCACGTTAGCACTATGTGCTAGGGGTTCATAAGAGCAGAGGGGAAGAGGGCCAATTTAGAGAAGTAACACCTTTGTTCCTGCAAAGACCAGTGTGACTGTTGCTCATCGGAACCTTAATTAATAAGCAGTCAAGTTCAGGGTAGTAGTTAAATATTACTCCCACTCTTACATGATTTGAATACAAATGCTCTGCCCGAGGTTGTGCTTGTAGAAATTTAAACCTTGCCATGTTGGTGAGTACCAGTAATCTGGGCAGTAGGGAAGCTGGGCTACATAACAAGACTCTGCCTCAAAAGAAAACATGAATACATACATACATACATACATACATACATACATACATACATACATACATGAAAGGAAGGAAGGAAGGTTAAGAAGGTGGCTCAGTGGGTAAGGTATTTACTGTATGAGCACGAGAACCTGAGTTCAGATCCCCAGAATCTCCATAAAGCCAGGAACTGTAGCACATATCTTTAACTCCAGTGCTGATGCAGATACTAGTGCTCCCTAGTCAGCCAGTCTCATCAAAACTGAGAACTCCAAGTTCAGTGAAAGATTGAGCCTTAAAACAAACACAAAACAAACAAACAAACAAAAAAACAAATAACATTGCTTAAGGCTCCTGGGACATCTCAGAAGACAGGGTAGGAAGACCCAGAGGACCAGGAAATCTGCTGTAAGACTGTGTCTCCTAGAAATGACAGGGAAGTTTCATGCGTACCTTGACAATACAGCTGCTTAACAAGGACAACACCAATGGACCAATAGACATGCTAACACAGAAGGGGCCCCAACCATAGGCAAAGGACAATAGGCAACTAAGGGACATTAAAGGTTGGAGAAGTAGTCTTGACCTTGGGATGAGCTCCTAGTTAGTTTTCTAATACCAAGCAGTCAGTTCTGAAATCATATACGCACAAACAACACTAAACACTAAATAGACTCAGCTGTGTGTGTGCATGTGCTCACATGTGTGTGTGTGTGTGTGTGTGTGTGTGTGTTAAATTTTAAAGGAAGAATTTGAGAGAGTGAAAGGGGAGCACGTGGGAAGAGTTGGGGGAAGGGAAAGAATGGGGGAAGTGATGTAATTATATTTTAATGACAATAAAATAAATGTAACAGGAAAATAACTATTATTATTACAAATGAGTGAAAATGCAGGCTACTGCAATTGTCAGTTAAAATGTTCTCTACAAATATGTCTGTCTCCCCTTTACATATGTAACATTCCTATCACAGCGTGGATGTGATAGAAATGAATTGATGCTACTCTTCTTGCCAGAACTTCCTGAGAATAAGGTGCATAGGCCAGCAAAGTGGCTGGGTGCAAGAAATTTCTACATATTGAAATGAGACCATTTACCATTTGAGTTTCTGTGACTGGCCTTTCTCACTTAACACCTGGCGGCGTCATCCATATTACCACACATGAACAGATTGCCTTCTTGTGTGTCTGAATGTCATCCTAATGTTTATGCAGGCACATATTTATCCACTTACGTTTAAACACTAAGGTTGGTTCCCTGTCTTGGCAATACTGCACAAGACTATAATTCACACTAGAATACAGTTGTCTCTTTAATATAGTGGTTTCATTCCCGTTGGATAGGAACCTTGTGCGCATAACACTCAATCGTATGGTAGGTCTACTTTTAATTTTTTTTCAGGAGCCTCTGTACTGTTTTCCAAAATGACTGTTGTAAATTATAACCTCTTTGTTTAAGTGTTTTAAATGATTATCTAGATAGGCATGGAAAGGGAATTTCTCCTCCCGACCCCAACAAGTTTTCATATAATTTTTTTCTTAGCCCAACTAATGGACAAGGCTCAGGACAACAGACTCCAACTGAACCATATGTTATGAATACATAAATAAAACTCAAAAACACAGAAATAGGGTTTTCACCTTAGAGTACACCCTGACTTGGAAATGGCTTTGTCCCAGAATGCATCCAGAAGTCTAGGTGGAGTCTAAACCAAATTGACCTCCCAAGAAAGTCTCACCATCAGGCATGAGCTCCACCACCAAGGTTGGATAGGCAATGTTGGTGCAGCCAACTGAGGTACCACAGTATTTCTTACATTCCGAGGGGACGACACAGGCGATTTTGTCTAGAGAGAGATGAAGAGCTGCATCAGCTTTCATTGGTTTGCTGTGGGTTCAGATGGTTGCAATGTTTACTTTTTTTGTTTTTGTGTTTTTGTTTTGTTTTGTTTTTGTTTTTCCAGACAGGGTTTCTCTGTAGCTATGGAGTTTGACCCGGAACTCACTCTGTAGACCAGGCTGGCCTCTAACTCACAGAAATTCACCTGCCTCTACCTCTGAGTGCTGGGATTACAGGCGTACATCACCACGCCAGGCTTAATGTTTACCTTCTTAAAGCAACACTTCAAACAAGAAAATCAGTGCCAGGAAGAGAACATCTCCCACCTAAGCTCTTCTGTGTCGTATCCCGACCCTGTTATCCCTGACACATCTTAAAGCTCCCACAGCAGAGAAAAATGGTTCTTAGGCAGAGGAAAGAAAGGAAACAAAGAAATGATCTTGTGGGAAAGGAGGAGATGCTGTCATTTAAACAGTTTGGTGGTGAAGATTGTCTCTTTTTTCCCCTCCTGAAAATCATGGTTATTTGTCACTCCTAGTTTTGAGGTTTATTGTGAACAGCTCTTAGACATACAGTCAAATCCCTAGAAAACTAGGGTGACTCCCAAGATGTGAGCACTCTGGACCAGAGATAAGAAAGAAATAGACTGGGAGGAGAAGGGAACAAGATCTAGAATCTTGGAGAAAATTCTAGAAACTCATATGGAATTCAGGCCAACAAACTTTTGTTAAGTACTCACCACAGGTAAGTACTTTTGTTAAGTACTCACACAGCACCAATTCAATGCAGTAATATTTTGTAAACAAATACATGCAGTAACCATTAAGGTATGGCCCATTCTGTTTGCTCAACAAGTGTCTCTCAGTATCCACATGTGATTGGCTCCTGGATGCTTTACCCAGTGGATTCCAAAGTCTGCAGGTGCCCAACCCCTTAAATAAAATAGCATAGTACCTTCTGTAACACACGCACATCTCCCCTGGCATCACCCATAGACTACTCACAGCACATAATAAGCTATAAGTGCTATGGAAATAGCTGTTAGACAATGTTGTTTGGGAACAGTTATATGCAAAAATGTACATATTTCCATCATAGGTGCAAATATTTTAATTTTTTCCAATATCTGTGAAGATCCACAGATGTGAGTTCTGAATATAGAGCACAACTATGTTTTCTGCCAGCACAGGAATATGAGATCCTAGAGGGGCATGCAACCAAGGACAACACAGCAAATGCCCACTTGTGAGGGATTTTTCTTTATTCTGACTTAATTTTGGAGGATGCTTGCCAAACTGTCACTTTATGGCACTCTATTTATTTATTCAAAACAGTTTTGATGATAACAGCTAACCAAAATTATTTTTATTCATAACAACAGCATGTAAATAGCAATGCTGAGATGCCACAAAAAGACCAAGGATGAATCTATCGGTCTAGATGGCAAGTCACAAGGCTTGGGGTACCTGCAAGGACACAATCCAGGAAACAGGGCAGAGAACCCAGGGCAACCTGCAGTAGGCTGGGCCTTTGACATTAAAATCACAATCCAGGAAATAGGGCAGAGAACCCAGGGCAATCTGCAGTAGGCTGGGCCTTTGACATTAAAATCACAAAGTGCTTATTATTATACACCACCACAAGGCTGGGGGATCAGAGTGCAGAACTGCAAATGAGCAAATGCTATTTCCAGGAAGAGGGAACCTGGATGGTGTCATGACTGTGGGAGATTAGAAAAAGAAATGAGAAGGCAACTGTTGGTGTAAGAAATGGGAATTGGTTCTCTCCTCCCACCTCGTGGGCTCCAGAGATCAAGTTCAGGTTGTCAGGCATGGCGACAAGCTTGCTATCAAACAACTTTAAAGTTTTAAAACAAAAATAAGTAACAATTTGGTTTAAGAAGAAATTGGGAAAGACAACTCCAAGATTTCTGAGCCCCTGATATGCACACTGCCTGACATAGGCAACCCGGATGCTTGGCAACCACGGCACGAAAGAAAGGGTCTAGCAAAGCAATGGGCTGATTCAGATGGAGGAATTACCTGTGTACAGAATCCGGCTGACCATTCCCGTCATCACCATGAGGAACATGGGCAGCAGCTTCAGATAGCCGCACAGGGTACAGCCGGCCTTCACGTGAGACATGTTCTTAGCTGAGAGGCAGCGCTGCACGATGACCTGTGGGAACATCCCATCGAGGAGCTGTGCAGCCCGGTGACTCTGTGACCCTCTGACATCCCAGCTTCCCTGGTTTGGGTCTCTAGCCTTGGTCCACAGCAACCCACAGACCATGTGAGCCTTCCTCTACATACTCAACCCCAACAGCCTGCCAGGTGGGAGTCTCGGTCACATACCCTGTCCTCCTGCACACCCAGATTGCATACCTGGTCTGTGCACCAGTACCACAGGGCGAGGATGGACAGGCCAAAGATGAGCCCAGGCCATGGAATGTCTCCCTTAATAGGATCTCGGAATATATGGAACGAGTCCTCCTTGGGAGTGTAACATTCTTCCTTGATGGTCAGATTTCCATCAGAAATCATACTTGGAATGGCTTTCATGTACTTCTCAACAAATGCCTCATACCCTCCTACTTCATTGAAAGCTGAAAAACATTGGTACAAAAAAGAACGCTGTAAAAAGTTAACTCCTGTGACTTCACATATGAGTATCTTAGACCCCAAGAGGATGCCAGCATAGGACAACACCATTGACGTGTGATTTGGAGCGAATTACCTTCCCTCTAGGTGTCAGGTTTCTATTATAAAACAAGAGTGTTAACTCTGCCCAGCCTCTTGGGAGACAGTGACATTTCAAAGCAAAGACTTGTAGAAGTGCCCTGACTACAAACAGTATAAAAGGGGGAGGTGTTTTATTAAAGGAAAACCTCAGCTTCGGAACACATGCAGACTGTTTTTCTTTAAATCCCAGCTGCCAGCCATGGTCTTTGGAACTCAGAACACAGAGTTAAAGACATTGGACGTGGGCTGGACAGCTGGTCCCAGGGATGCCCCAGGAACGGAGGACCAGAATCTCTGCCACTTCTCAGCTCAGTGCGGTCATTCTAGCCTATTCTTGCTGACCCCCGAACTCCAGCATACAGCACCCCAGCCTACAGGGGTGGAGATCCTTACAAAACTAAACGCTAGCTACAGTGTAGACAGGCATCTTTGAATGACACCCAGAGGGCCCAATAAACATAAAAAGCAAAATGTGTTTTCTATCTCCTTGTAACAGCTAGGCTTTCCAATTGCTGTCTTTTATAGACAAGGATGATTCCCAGAAAAGATAGGACATGACAAAATTTTTAAGTTTTGTCAAATGAAGCATTAAAATGAAAAATCTCCTATCACCAACAATGCATAAACTTTGGACTTTTAACATCCTAATGTATACAGGATATAGTTTCAGCCTGAAAATACAGTGTGTAAATCTGTGTCACTTGATAAGTAGTTAGCCTTATTCATTTTTACCCAGGTTCTCTGCAAATATAGTGCCATATTCCCACAGGCCTACACTGGAGACCACTGAACCAAGCAATTCAAGTATTCCTTGGGTCTGCTCCAACAAGGGTCCAACAGGGGCAAGGTGGCTTCCGTAAGGATGGCCGGTCAGGGTTAGGCCACTGCCCTGAGCTAGACAGAGAGTTACAGGATATTTGTACACTGTGTGAGGATATATTGCTGTGACAGGTTTAATGAAGAACTGGATGGCTAATATCTAAGCAAGAGAAATAGGTGGGATTTCTGGGGAGAGAGAGGAAGAGGTGGAGGAATCTAGGCACACGGATTACGCCAGAGATGCCAGGAGATGCACAACAAGTCAGACATAAAAACAAGGAGTATAGGTAAAAAAGCTATGTGGCAGAATGTAGATTAATAAAAGCAGATTAATTTATGAGTCAGTTGGGGGCAAACCCAAGCTAGGGCCAAGCTTTTAATAAGTCTCCGTGTGGTTGTTTGGGAGCTGGCTGGCAGAGAGACTGGTTACAGCAGAGCATGCAGGCAGGCTGGCCAGACCAGCTCTTGTCTTCCCAGCACTCTACCCCTCCCCCCACCTGCTCAGCTGGCCCTAGCCCCACTTACCAAATGCGGTCAGGATAATAGACCCCACCAGCATGATTGCGGTCTGCAAGGCATCTGTGTAGATCACCGCTGCCAGGCCCCCTAAGCAGGCAGAAAGACAACAGATCTCATGGCATGGGCAATGCCCACCCGCTTCCTTTTTCTACCCACTGCCCTCTCTTCAGCCCCAGGGCACCTTCTAAGAGGCTCTTCACTGCCCCGGCACCACCAGCCGCCCGACTTTCCCTCCTTCTTCCCCCAATCCTGTTGCAATATTCTGCTGCCTAGGATGTTCCGTCCTCTCATGAAAATACCTACAAGGCCGGGAAAGGGAAGATGCTTGTCTAAAGCACTTGTTGTGAGCTTTTTTAAGCTAGGATATGGCTCAAAAGAATGCTTGCTGTAGGGAGGGTCAAGATCATGATGGGGAAAACCACAGAGACAGCTGACCTGAGCCAGTGTGAGCTCAGGGACTCTGGAAGGACTCGGGACCTTCAGCTGGGGAACCTGCCTGGGACAGAACCAGGCCCTCTCTCTCAATGTGGGTGACAGTTAAGTGGCTTGATCTGTTTGGGGGGGGTCCCCTAGCAGTGGGACCAGGACTTATCCTTTTTGGAGCCCATTCCCTATGGTGGGATACCTTGCTTAGTCTTGATGAAGGGGAGGGGCTTGGTCCTCCCTCAACTTGGTATCCCAGACTTTGTTGACTCCCTAAGGGAGACCCTCTAAGAAGTGGATGGGGGGAGGGGAGTAGGGTGGGGGAAGTAAGGGGTGGGAGGAGGAACTGGGGTAGGTATGTAAAATGAAAAAATAAATAAATAACAGAAAAGAACCCAAAACAAACAAACAAACAAATGCTTGCTCTGTAATGCTAGAGATAAACCCAGGGCGCTCTATCTTTGTATCTAGAGTTCTTCATCTCTCCTGCTCTCTTTTCCCCATGCTCTCACTCTCTCTTGCTCTCGTTCTGTGTGTGCGCGTGCGCGCATGGGTATAGGACGGACAGATGTGCTAACTTCTCATCCTCGGGTATACGGGATCCTTTCCCTTCACGCCTGCAAAGAACACGTGTCTCTGCCATCCTCAAATCTTACTCTGAAACCTCTTTGTATGCCTGTCTCCCACTTCAAAATGGTTCCCAATCTAGTCACACTAAATCCAAGGATCCCAAGGACCCGTACCTGTTTATACCAACATGCTTTGCGTCCCCTGCTTCCAGCACCTGCTGGCCCGCCTTGCTCCTGAGGCACACCACGTCCATTCCTGCCTCTATTCCTCACTTATTTTTTTTAAGCCTGGCATGCCTCTAATTACCCTAGCCCCACAATCTTCAGGGCTAAACTCTCCCGGAGCGCCTGTGAAAGGTTGTCCTGCTTGTTCCAATCAGCCCAGGAGCTGTCGCAGAACATTCACAGGACTTTCGGGGAGACCAAGAAAACAGCCATTCTCAAACCCTACTTCCTTCATCTTTCGAGAGTGCCTAACCCTAGGCCAGGCTTGAGCTGCCAATTCGCTTGAATGGACTTACCTGTGATTGTATAAAGGGCAGTGATTGCTAGTAGGATAAAGATGGCCAAGTATATATCCAGACCCAAGGCTAGATTGATAAATATAGCTCCAGAGAAGATGTCTGCCTGGAAGGAGAGAAGCAAGGCTTAGGCAGAAGTGAGAGAATCATCTGGTCACAGGGGCCATTCCTGGGTTTCCAGGCAACCTTTACTCATGATAGTAGCTAGTATTTCACAAGATTAAGGACTCTGTGATCAATTCTCTCTCTCTCTCTCTCTCTCTGTCTCTGTCTCTCTCTCTCTCTCTCTCTCTCTCTGTCTCTGTCTCTCTCTCTCTCTCTCTCACACACACACACACTGCTAGATTAAACAAATTGAATGTGGCTTCTGTACCACACAACATCCCTTCATGAATACCCAGCTGAGGCTCATGGGACAAGATGCTTCACAAACATTTAACACACACACATACAAACACAAAGCATCTACAATCAACTGCTACTCTTAGCCAGTGTTCCAGGCTCTTACACATCAGTGTGCATGGGTTTACAATCTCTATCCCCAAAAACAAGTCAGTGTTTCAGATCTGTGAGTGGGGAACCCAAGCCCCACTCCCCACTTCTTCAGCCCAAAAGGAGTTCATCCAGAACACCAAGTGTCTCTTGCATGTTACTGGCACTTCTGTCTACGTTGGCTGGTGTGAGTTTCAGGGGACTTGCCCCTCCTCACTGCTGAATTCAGTATGTTCTTTACATGGTCCTTCCAGGCTTTCTTCCATGCCTCTAATAAAGCTACCTGGCAGGAGGGCATGCAGTAGCTAATATACACCAACAGAGGGCACCATAACACTGTGCTGCCAGGAAGAACACCATCACCATCAGTCTGGGTAAATCTTTCTATTTGCAGGTACCACAGAGCAAGTAAGGTTTGTTTGTTTGTTTGTTTGTTTGTTTGTTGTTCTTGTTGTTTTCTTTTGTTTGTATTGCACAAAAATCGAACACATTTAGGAATCTGCGAAAGGAATCCTGTCACACTCCTTGGGAGGGGCCAGTAGAATTGTACTCAGCTCTCTTTTATGCTGAACTAAAACAAAACAACAAAAAAAATTATACAAATTCTGCCTCACATGAACTCTACCCTTGGGACCACAAAAACCGAGGATTCCTGCTAAGAATACCATAGCTCAGTGAATGCAGTGGAGTAAACTCTCCTTAGCCTGAGGCTCTGGGTATTAGTTTTCAGTTCTTTCTACCTGCCTCATTTTTCCGTTTACCTGGGGATGTTTTTCCCTCTTCCTTTCCTGGGAATTTCACAGGGCTGCTCCAGGCATGTGCTACTTTGACACTCAAAAAGTATTGGCGTTTTTTTCTCATTCTGCCTATGCTTCTGGGATTGCAGTGAGACAGTGAGAGCCTCAAGTGAATTGTTGAACACCACAAAGTTCTCTTAGTGGAAGAAGATCGTGAGTTAATGTGTAAAGTGCAAGCTGCCAAGGACGGTTTGAAATCTTATGGTATTGCAAAATGAAAAGTAAAACTTAACAACAAATGGTGAACACTAAAAATGCAATGAAAGAAGATGAAAGTTCTGAACTGAAACAGCCAGCCAACCATTTGCAGAGCCACGTGACCTCACGGCTGGATTCCAGCTAAATGCTGAAGCAGATGGTGGGGACAGCAAAACAAGAATGGCACCATTTAAAAAGCCAAGCTGGAGATGTGCAGCTGGAAGGTGAAGAGTTGAGTTTGCTCTTTGGTGACAGTGGAGGAAAAACAGATACAACGGCTGGAAGAAAAGCATGAACTTTGAGCATGAACAAAGCTACACAGAGAAACCCTGTCTCAAAAAATCAAGAAAGAAAGAAAGGAAGGAAGGAAGAAAGGAAGGCAGCCATTCCTGTAAAAAGGTTCACCAGTGAGAGTTACTTAAATGAACCCTGGGATACAGAATCTAAAAGAACAATCATAACTTCATCAAATAATCCAAGGAGTTTAAAGAAGACACAAACAAACGCTTCAGTGAAATGAAGAATAAACTCCTGATTGATGCCCAAGAAAACATGAACATAAAGCTGGTGGAAATGGTGAAGACAACCCAGGATGTGAGACCTGGATTCAATAAGGAGGTAGAAACCATGAAGAGTGAAGATGGAATGTGGAGACGGAATTGGAAATCCAGTACCTCAACAAGAAACCTCAAAGAAAAGGCTTACAAGTAGAGTGAATATCAGGTCTTGAAGATAAAATAGAGGACCTAGACCAGATAATCAAGATACCATGGAAAAAAAAACCACAAACCTTGAAATTGTAGGTAAACATGGGGAAGAATCCAAGCCAATGGCATAGACCAGATAGGTCTTCAATAAGATCCTAGAAGAAAATTCCCCCCAAACTAAGGAAAAACACACCTATATGGATACAGGAAGCCCAGAGAACACCAAATAAACAAGATCAAAAAAGAAGATCCCCACAGAATACATAGTTAAAACACTAAGTCACAGAACAAAGATTGTGTATACAAAGGGGCAAAGAAAAAATTTAAGTCACATGTAAAGGAAGTCCATGAAAACAACAGCTGAATTCCCATTGGAAACTTTAAAGTCAGAAGAGCCTGGAGACTCCTAAAAGGGTATCATGCCACCCTAAAATATTATACCCAGCAAAACTATCTGCCATGATTGAAGGAGAAAGAAAAGCTTTCCAAGACATAAACAGCCTAAAAAATTATAGCCAGCAAACCAGCCCTAAGGAGAATGCAGGAAGAAAAGGTTCAGGCTGAGGAGGGGAATCAGCACAGCAGTGAGACTGCAGGAAGAACTATGAAGCCCTGATTGTTAAAACACACGTGAAACCTCGCTGCAATCCCAGCCTTGCTTCCCTTACCGCATCTCTTTGTGTCAGCGCTGTAGGAGCGCTCTCTACCCAGGACCCCCAGCAGCCACTCTTGCCAGGGACTTAGGACTTAGGTAGGCGAATCGTACTGCCCTGCCTGTCCTCCATACTGTCTCTCTATTCCCCCCTCCACCCAGTAACAACCTGCTTACAGGCACCCCTCCTCCTCCTCATCACCACTCCCCTCCTCCTCCTCATCTCCACTCCCCTTCTCCTCCTCATCACCACTCCCCTCCTCCTCATCTCCACTCCCCTCCTCCTCCTCATCTCCACTCCCCTCCTCCTCATCTCCACTCCCCTCCTCCTCCTCATCTCCACTCCCCTCCTCCTCCTCATCTCCACTCCCCTCCTCCTCCTCATCTCCACTCCCCTCCTCCTCCTCATCTCCACTCCCCTCCTCCTCCTCATCTCCACTCCCCTCCTCCTCCTCATCTCCACTCCCCTCCTCCTCCTCATCTCCACTCCCCTCCTCCTCCTCATCTCCACTCCCCTCCTCCTCCTCATCTCCACTCCCCTCCTCCTCCTCATCTCCACTCCCCTCCTCCTCCTCATCTCCACTCCCCTCCTCCTCCTCATCTCCACTCCCCTCCTCCTCATCTCCACTCCCCTCCTCCTCCTCATCTCCACTCCCCTCCTCCTCCTCATCTCCACTCCCCTCCTCCTCCTCATCTCCACTCCCCTCCTCCTCCTCCTCATCTCCACTCACCTCCTCCACCTCAACTCCATTCACCTTTTCTCACCTCAACTCCATTCTCTTCCATTCTCTGGAGACTCCGAATCTTGGATCAGACCCGGAGAAAGAGAGGTGGTGCCTACATAGAGCCTTCACCCCTATCGGCTAGTGTTCTTGACACTAGAAGGTACTCGACATGCTACCAAAGGAGAATCATAAACCCCAGTCCTCTGCAAAGGTGTCCTTCCTGTGCAATGACGGCACAAAGCTTGTAGGAGTATCCAAGCAGTATCTGATTTGACTTGCGGCCCACTTCACAAAACGGAACCCAGACCCGATGCTTCGGGGACCACGATGCCTGCTTGTTTCACAATGAGAGGCAGAAAGGGTGTGGAGCCCCAAGGAGGGCATGTGAAGAAGAGCTGAACCAGGAGGACTAGAGGGAGGGAAACTGTAATCAGCTTATATTACAGGGGAAGGGGGATAAAGATAATGAGGTAATTACACAAAAAAAATGATTTGCAGCTGTTAAATTCAAAGGGCAATTGTGAAATTCACAGGTAAATAGATGGAGAAAAAACATTCTGTGGCTAAAATCAAAAACACCAACGACAGTTTATTCTGGAGAGGATGTGAAGAAAGGAGAACACTCCTCCACTGCTGGTGTGAGTGTCAACTCGTACAGCCACTTTGGAAATCAGTGTGGAGATTCCTCAGGAAGATGGGGATCAGTCTACCACAAGGCCCAGCAATTCCACTCTTAGGCACATATCCAAAGGATGCACATCCATACAACAAGGATATCTGTTCCACTATGTTCATAGCAGCATTATTTGTAATAGCCAGAACCTGGAAGCAATCTAGATTCCCCTTGACTGAAGAATGGAAAAAGAAAATATGGTACATTTTACAATGGAGTATTACTCAGTGGAAAAAACAATGGAATCTTGAAATTTGCAGGCAAATGGATGGAACTAGAAGAAACCATCCTGAGTGAGGTAATCCAGTCACAAAAAGAGAAACAGGGTATGTACTCACTCATTTATGGATTTTAAACATACAGCAAAGGATTACCAACCTACAATCCACACCACCAGAGAAGCTAGGAAACAAGCAGGACCCTAAGAGAGACATACATGATCCCCTACAGAAGGGGAAAGGGACAAGATCTCATGAGCTAATTGGGAACATGGGGGAAGGGGAGAGAAAGAGAAGGGGAGAAGAGGGGTACATGAGGGAACAGGAAGATTGAGTCAGGGGAAGAATAGAAAAGAGCAAGAAAAGAGATACCATAATAGAGGGACTCATTGTATGTTTAAAGAGAGATTTGGACTAGGGAAATGTCCAGATTTCTACAAGGATGGCCCCTACTAAGAATCTAAGCAATAGTGGAGAGGCTATCTTAAATGCCCATCTCCAATAATGAGATTGATGACTACCTTATATGCCATCCTAGAGCCTTCATCCAGTAACTGATGGAAGCAGAAGCAGACACCCTCAGCTAAACACTAAGTTGAACTCTTGGTACCCAGTTGCAGAGAGGGAGGAGTGAGGAGCAAAGG